GGGGCAGCTGGATTTCTTCAATTTGTTTTGGAGACGTCCTGTTTTTATACCAAGGGAGCATTGTGTAACCCATAAAATCAATGTCCTGGATGATTTCGTGAAGACCATTCGGCCAGCTGTGTGAGGCATCTCATTATGTTTTCTCGCTCTCTGCGGTATTCTGCAGCTCATGTTGTGCCATGTAGTCATGTGGGTTTTAAACACAGAACGAGAGCAGGTGCAGATAGATCCAAAAGCACTGGAGAGGAAACAAACACAAACAACATGCCTTATCCTGCCTTGAAGTGTCCCTCATCCCTATGGATCTCTGCTGTGCCATCATTCTGTGTTCGGCTCCGCGCTTAAACAGCAGCCAAAGCCTGAGCCCCGGCACCGAATGCTGCTGATCGGTACAGTTCCTGCCCCCTCTCAGCCAGCGGGAGGACGGGGGATCCTGGTGTGATAAATGGCCACGCAGCTAGGGAGATGAACGGAAAGGGTTCCTCCAAGACTGTTTTGTATAATTGCTAGCCTCCTAACAAGTGGTAGGGTTTGATTAAGCTCAGCGGGAAAGTAGCGTCCCTGTCAGTTAGACCCAATGCAGAAGCAGCGGATTATGTCATAACATTCAGATTTGATGAGTAGATGAAGTGAGGAGTAAATATATAAGAAAGAAATCTGACCCGTAGAGAACTATTACTCATATCTGTTTTATTCAACGCGGATGAATTTTATAAAAATAATATGCAGCAAGCACTGAGTATTTCCCAGATATGAAGCACGCGTCATGTTCATTTCATGAAATCGTTGGGCGACCATGTCGTATAACGAGGTTAGATTTCATTCTGGATGCCACGGCGGCGCTCGTTTTCTCATCATTTTTGAATTGCATGTCTGATTTCCCTATAAAAGTCACATTAGAGATAATTCCAGTGGCTGAAATGTGGCGCTGATTCTGATGAAAGCGACCGCGATGTGCATTTTGTCTTTTGTTTTGTAGAGACCCTTGTTGTTCCCATTTATCTGCCAAGCATTTGTCTCAATTTAAACACGGCCGCACACTGAATTGGATTATTGACCAGGTTAATGGAGTCCCATAATTACTTAATTTAATCCACTGTAACAGTGAGTCATTAGTTATTATTACATCGTAATTACATGATTATCATAATTTTATTAAATCCTTAATACTTGTCGAGGCCGTTGCTTTTTGTAATTACTTTTCTTTCTTTAAAGCATCTCATGATGTCAAATCCGAAGCCTAATGAACCAGATAACTGCGTAAACTGAAGTCTTCTGTCTTGATCTGGCTTCTTACCAAGCGCGTTAATTACCATTAAAATGAGCTGAGTTCGCTTCACTTTCACACCTTTTCAGAAGCCATTCATAAAGAAAAAGAAGAAGAAAAAGAAGAGTCCCGATGGCTTAACATGTCTGGCTTGTGATGCTGTTTAAACTGTAGGGGTTTCAGTGTGTAAATACATTGATCTATGACCTCAAAATGTGTGTTTTGCTCATTTTTTTTAAAAAGCTGCTGCACGATCATGTGATATTACAAAAAATACTGCTATTCAGCCTCTAACAAAGTTTATTATTACAGCAGTCTGACAGGTACTTACCGATATAAGGGACAGTAATGATGGCTCTCTGATGAATGGTGCGGTGAAAACTGTTTTGCATTGTAAACATAAAAAAAACTGTCAAATACACAATTAAATCAAATAGGAATAATGACTTTGGCTTTAAATTAGTTCCACTTCTTTTTTTTTAATCCAATGCTATTGATCTCAGGAGCATCAGGTTGCCAAGTAAACTTATGATGTGCAGTTTAAAGAGACTAATCATAGAATTCTAAGGTACAAATCAGAATTTCTATGAGTCATTTCGTCCTTATGTATGCGTAACTGTTTCTCTGACTAAAGTAAAGTGATGCTTCACTTGGAGGCTTTATTACTCTTCAATGAGGTTGCCATTGGTTTCTGTACAGGACTAAGACAGGACAGTGGTTGATTCTCAAATGAATAAAAAAAAATAACGCATTTCAAGATTATGAAAATACATGAATGTGAAGCTAAATATGTCCCATTTGTTGCAATAAAGATTTTTAACTTGTCAAGCTGTGACTGTTCTTTACACCAAATAAGCATAGCAAGACAGCAAAAATATTCATAAATAATTAAAAGAGGAAGCACATATTTCTCCTACATCCCCTCCTAGAGCGGACCAACCTGCCTCTAAAACCTTTTTTTCTCCTCACAGTAGACATCTGCACTTGTTGCATGTCAGATCACATTTATTAATTAATAATGCAGCCCATGTAGGTGTTCCAGGTGCAGGACCCTGTGTCATGACTGCCAGCTCACATGGACGCCTAAGTGGAGCGGAGTCATCGTTACTGTTATTACATTTACAGTCTGTAGTATTGCAGCAGAACTGATCATTTCAGACGTGTTTCTGGAGGGACCTTTGTTGTTAACGCACAGTGCCGTATACATTTGATTGGCTGTGTCCGAAATCCCTATGCCCTACATAGTGCACAATATAGGATGGACGCCATTTTGTAGGGGTGTCCGAATGTTAAGTTACAAATGATGCACCCTATATAGTGCACTCAAGATATCCCACAATGCACCTTGAAAAGTAGTGTACAGCCCATGGTCCCTAACCGAGAGATATGAACAATCATGCATTGTGTGGAAGGAGAATGGCAGACAGACGGGAGCGCAAAAATATTTTAATGGAAGCAGAGTCATATTTTTTTAGGGTTTTTAAAAAATATATTTTCATTTATTACTTTTGGAAAATACGCAGGTAGATGGATTTATCACAGAAATGCCAGTCGGCTCACTACAATAGCCGGCGTCAATCTGATACGTCTTAAGTGAGCGACAGCAGTGACGTATTTAACAGCGCCGAGACTTGCGTAGTGTCCTAAATGTTACTTTGCTGAACAGCTCCCTATGTAGTGATCACTACATAGGGAGTAGGGAGAAGGGCATAGGGAGTGATTTCAGACACAGCCATTGTTCTTTCTTAGGAAATCAGTCACTACCCGCTTATATAGTGTGTTTGCCATTTTGTAGTCCTGTCTGAATATTAAGTTGCAATATTACACCCTATATGGTGCATTTAAAGTATCCCACAATGAAAAGTAGTGTACAGCTGATGGTCACTAACCAAGAAACAAGAGAGCCAGTTGAGGACTTGTGGCATTTCCACAGATTTATTTTATATTTTCTATGTAAAGCATCTTTTCTATGTGTGTCGCTTGTCAGAAATTACAATAGACGTGAGAGTTATGGCTTGAAAATATTAAAATTGAGAATAATCATTTGTGTTAATATATTTAATGGCAGCAGAGTCTTGTAAAGTTATTTTTACTCATTCATTTTGGAAAATCCACTTAGTATAATATGAATTTATTACAGAAATGCCGGTTGGTTCGCTACCACCACCGGCATCGATCTGATAGAATTGAATTGAGCGACAGCAGTAATTAATGGAGACTCAAGTCCGAAAGTGGTACTTTTGCAAAGGAGCTCCCTACAAAGTTCACTATATAGTAGCCTTAGTGTCTTATGTGGCCTTTATTAAGGCCTTAGTTTAGCTATAAAAGATGTGTTTATGTTATTTGCATTAGCATTGTGCTACTACTGGTAGCAACAAGTAGCCTACTGTCTCAGTGTTTAAAATGTGGAAGCTTCTAGAAGACATGAAGCACGAAGAAAACATGGAGGCCAAACCACAACATAATGCTACCTGTTAGCTGCTAGCCCAAGTTGGTCTGAACAATCAATCGAAATGTGACCAAGAGAAATATCCCTGCTATGTTTTAATAAAGGCAAAATGTGTCACAACATAGCATTTTTAATGAACCATAATGGTGCTTATAAATCATTTTCTCCGGACATTAAGGGAACATGTTTATTTGATCCAGACCGCAGCATTTGTGTCAGTGGAATTAGCATATTAGCAGTTAGTGCTATTAGCATCCACTGGAGGAGGGTGACTTTTTCAGTTGGCCTCTGTATTTTTTTTATTTTTTTTGTGTTTCATGTTGTTGTTGTGGCCAGAACTAGCTTAGCATCCATCAGCAGCAGAGCTTCTCCATGCTGTGTTATAACCCTCATCCTTAAGGAGTCGGGAATTATTGTCAAAAACTGTTATTGTGAAGCTAACTCAACAATCCCCAGGCTAATTTAACCACCTTGAAGAAGAAAAACACGTCCATCCGTTCACTAAGTGATTAAAAAAGATTTCAGTTTACCAGCCTGGCTGCCGGCAGGCTTGATTTGACAACAGAGGAACCTGGCAAATGGGATTAAAAGTTGTTTTTCATCATTCAGTAGATAGTTGTTTTTTTGATTTTTTCTTTTCAACCAGTTTAAAGTGTCTTTGAGGATTCAAGAGATACCTTAAGAACAACAGGAAGTCTTTTCAAAGAACCACATTGTGAATTTAGCTACTTAATTAGCTGTGTGACCTAAAACTATGCTAATTCTTGAGGACCACAAACTGGGGGTTTTAGCTTGCTAGCATGTAGCATGACTAAGCTGATAACAATGTCGATACAAATGTGCTCAATTTATGTATATTTCATGTTATCTGAGGAAAAACAGTCAAGCTTATAGAGGTTTGTGTGTCTTACTATGGAGTCTTAAGTGCTTTTTGTACAAATAATTATAATTCTCTGTTGTTGGTGGTCTCATGAAGTGTAATTAGTTATGAAAACACACACCCCAGTGTCTCTTTAATCCCTACTTACACATGCAGACCTCATCCACATGAAAAATGGCCATTTGAAGTGAGTCCAGATAATTACGTTTGTTTGTAACCTCCCACAGATCCTGTCATCAATTTTCACCTTAGCGTGATAGAACTTAGTCACCGTTTTCGCCACCCAGAGGTGGTCTAAATCTTATTACGCAGCACCATCGCAACCAAAATATCTTCTCTCCCTTCATCTGCTTTCATTACCCTCATGCATTTAAATTAAGAGCTCTCTTTTTTTTCATCCACAGATCTGATATTCTCCTGGATCTTCAACGAGTACCCGACGTTTGTGAAGCAGGACACTCGCCGCTTCATCTCGCAGGAGACGGGCAATCTGTACGTGGCCAAAGTGGAGCCCTCGGATGTTGGCAACTACACCTGTGTGGTGACCAACACCGTGACCAAGACCCGCGTCCAGGGTCCGCCCACCCCTCTGGTGCTCCGCAGCGACGGTCAGTTTATTGTGCAAACCGAAGCGCATGCAAAACATTAATAATCACAAAGATTTCTGGCTTCAGCTTTATGGAGGAGTGAAGTCATCTTTATTGCAAAGCCGACAAATGATAACGAATCATGCTGGTGGAAGAAATAAGGTGCAAAATTGTTGCTATTTACAATAAAAAAGGGGGTGTTAAAAAGTCTAAGCACAGTGTGACGTTAGAAGTCTCATAAACAATGCGAGGCTGTATCTGTGGGTATATATTTTGATATGTACGTGATATTTTTTAGGTGGTGCTCTAAAAACAGCATTACCAACTTGAACCCACGTGATAATGAAACACCTCACGCTTCACAAAAACACTTTTTTATTAAATATGTTCTGTTCCTATTTTTATTACATCTTTCATTACATATTTAGATAGTCTGTTTTCACTCGTACAACTCTGTATTATTTCAATATAAATGCAGCCGAAATCTTTTGGTAGATTTAATACAGCGCGGCGGAGAATTTGCACAGATCCCAGCACGATAACGACAGGAGCAGTCCAAACTGGCTCAGTGTGGGTGCCTTAATATAGGACAAGCATCTTTTTTTTTTAAAAGAATACAAATGAAATTCAAAGGTTAATTATCTCTTTCTTCGCTAATTTCAGCATGTCCTTTAACATGTGGATCTGATGCTTTAGGCTGGCCTTATCAAGGCACTCCAGAAGAAAGGTCATTGTCAGCAAGTAATCTAATTGTACGCTTCCATCCCAGAAGCCTGCTCTTTACCATGTTTAAAGTAATGCAGGGAAATATGAAACTAAATATAATTTTCACTAGAAATCTCTCTTATGGCATTTATGTCATTTATTATAGCTGGTCTGATGCAATTAAATACCCCTCTGAGAATAAGTATTATCTCTTGTGTAGCTGCTTTTATGGGCCTTGATATTGGATCTGTAATGTATCTGATGTCAGAGTTATATTATTATTGTTATTATTACTAACAACAAGCATGAGTTATTATAACTCACAACAATGCTTCCAATGTTTTCATCAGTATTTGATGCTGCTTCCTACATTTTAAAGCATCCCTCATGTACATCATTCACAGGAAGGTTTGAAGTTGTTGATAAAAGTAAGTTTAAACTAATGAGGACACATCATTTTTAACTGATTATAGCTGCAGTGCTTTAGTGTTCAGATCCATAACTTACATAAGCATAGACACGATACACAACATACAATCCTTTTTTCCCTACAGACCAAAATATGCACAATGCAGTTGCACTTCCTGGTTACATACTGACCAACGCATGTACTGATAAATCTTTGACAATATCAGCCGACACCTGTTCTGATATTATCTTATCACTTTAGCCTCTTTATTGGTTGGTTAAATTACAGCTATGCTTTTTTTAAAAATCCTGCATCATATGTTGTTTTGAGGGTTAAAAAAAAAACAACGCACAAATTCACACAGATTACCGTAAATTCCAGACTATTGAGGCACCTGAATATAAACTGTACCCACTAACTATAAAAAGAAAACAAGTTTTGTACATATACAGGCCGCACATGTCTATAAGCTGCAGGTGTCCACGTTGTAACATGAGATATTTACACAAAAAGATTTTTTAAACTTTTAATTAAATATGCACCGGTAACATACACAAATAATTACCATAAATGCTTTTTTCCAAACAGTGCCTGTAACACGGCTGGTTGTGTTGGAACTGAACAGCCTCAGAATTACTTGGTCGCACACTTCCTCACTCTCTCTTTTGTTGTCACAAATTCGTAAAAATTCATAAATTAGCCACGTCATCATTTAAGCCGCAGTGTTCAAAGTGTGTGAAAAAAGTAGCGGCTTATATTCCAGAACTTACGGTACACAGAAATATGCAAACACGAACAGCGTTTTGGGGAATTCAACTGTAATAAATTGTGAGCACAGGGGGCAGGAGAGAAGTAAACATAGAGTTTGCAAATGCACAGATTATCATAACAATGATGGGACAAAAATGGGCAAAGACAAGCCAAAATGCGGGCAAAGAGCATTTACTAAACAATAAAGAATGCGGAGTGTGTTAATCAGAGTCACCAGTGGTGTAAGTGTAAATGCATGGTGGTAGCGTGGAGGGAGGTGCAGCACCTCATTGACCTGAACATTAACTGAAGAATGGGAAACACCCCCGACGTGCCCAAAGCAGTCTACTGGGCAGGACCGCCGCAAGATGAATAATAAAAATGTCTTGCAGGCACTTTTTTTTTTGTGCTTAGATGCTGCTTATAAATGATAAATAGGTGGGCTGAAATAAAGTGTTGCAATCTGTTATTGGCAGTAGTAATGTATGTGTTTGCTGGGACGAAGGTTTTGCAGAACATCCCAGTGATTGTTCTCATAATCATTGCGTTTCACCTAAACGTGCTTGTGTGAAGGTGGAATTAGTAAAATAAAAAAAAACTTTATTGCACTTTATAGAATGTCATCCTTTAAATTAAAGCATAATCATCTGATATTGGTTCACTAGTGATGCCAAAAAGAAAGCAGCTAAACCCTTTTGGCTCCAGAGCATTTCCCTTCCCCTTGCTTCTGCCCCCTTTCTGTTTTCATTATACGTTCGTTTCGCAGCAGGAGCAGCAGATAAACGTCAGCCCTACCTCATCGTCACAGCGGGGGGGGGAAGGGAGGGTTTGGGTAAGAGGGTGCAGGTGGACACATTAAACAGGTGTCCCCTTACAAAAGGTTATGGTATAAGACAATTACCTGTCCACTTCCACCTGTCTGCTTTTACATGGGCGATAGCGTTGTGGTTACATTGCAGCATGAGACAGTTGTGATAAGGATCTGAATTAGCTTTCACAGTCACTCGGGGAGCCATCCTGATAACACATGCCTCACCAAATCAACGTGATGAAATTGGCCTGTTTCCTCCATCTCTAGAGCTATTTGTGCAACACAGCCCAGAATTACAGCAATAGGAGGAGGGCGGGGGGGGGAACCTATTGTTGCACTCGTGGATGAGAATGGCTTAAAATACCACATCGTACAAGCCAGGCCGGGAGGAATGACACCCAATTACAAACTCATTGATATCATTTACCTCAGCGTCAATTAAAGGTTTTGTTTAGACACTCCAGTTTTGATTCATGAATAAGTCTGTGTACCAAATCCAGAACACCACAACATCTGCATTCCTGTCTTCTCCTTTATCTGGAGATTTTTTTTTTAGCATGCACAGCAGCAATATTATAATCCACCAGAGCTGCTTCACCGACAGTGAATGGGATGTTTTGTAGACACAGTGGCAGTACCCAGGAGGATTTTATGGGCCCATTTTCTGGTTCATAGCTGTTAGCACTACAACAAGATGAAACTCATCTGGATGTAAAAGCTCAAACCGTCTATGAATTCTCAAAAATTGTTTTTTTTTTTTTTCCTCCCATTGAACATCAGCGTGTCGCATGTCCGCTGGAGAGCTGTGTTTTGGCTTCTGTTTCTCATTATTTTCAATGGGAGAGCATTCTGTGACAGCGCTGAGAGCAGAGCGCCTTTCTGCTGCTCAGATCGCATAGCGTTGGAAGTGAGGAGGGGGGGAAAAAAAAGCGTTTCAGCTTATAGTAAAAAGATTTTCAGTAGTTGGGTGGCAACAGAAGAAACCACAATTAGTTTTTTTGCCTGAGTTGGTTGACTTGAGTGTGAAGAAGAAAAGTGTTTTTTGCACTTCCATGTATTTTTATTTCTCTTTCAGGTGTTATGGGTGAATATGAGCCAAAGATTGAAGTTCAGTTTCCAGAGGTTGTTCATGTTGCCAAAGGATCCACTGTAAAGCTGGAATGCTTCGCTCTGGGAAAGTAAGCCCACTCTTAAGTACAGGCTCGCTAGCGTTTAAAAGAAAAAAAATGTTTCTCGAAAAGGCCTGGCATTTTTTTTTTTTCATGTATTTCACCACTTTGCTGCAATCCTCATGAGTTTCAAGCCAGGCTGCACATCTGAGAAATTAGAAGGCACATGTGGTGTAAGAATCTTCAGTTAAAATATCAGGTTTTGTGTAACACAGTGTACCAAAGCTCAAAGTACAGGACGAGCTAAAACGCCTTGAGTTAGAGCGGCCAACGGTTGCGCTCGACTCTGTGGAGACTGCGAGTTTATTTTAGCAGCTTCACCTTCGCGGAGAGTGAAACCGCCTTTAAACTATGCATCAGAATCAGTTTTGTTTCTGCTCTCTCAGCGCGATTAAACACAGTTTCGTAGAGGGTTCAGGCAAGTAGATGGAAAAATTACAAATAAAATAAATATTTTGATTTCTACAGATAGAGGTTCATGTACACGTGCAGTAGATAATGTGTGTAATATTCCATATATTCTCTATTAATATTATGGTGGAGTAGCAAGTAGCAAGGGAATAGGTAAATCCATGGGGTTATATATTTACATTTGAGCATCAGTCTAAATAATCTGCTCTTATGTTGAGTATCAGCGATTTTAATAGCATGATTTTAGGTTATTTTAGTGCAATATCCACCACTCTTGCATATTAAATTCAAATATGTAAGGAACTGTGACTCAGTATTAGGTTTCATAGACACAGATAAGCAAGTTTAAGCTTTTTTAAAATAGGTTTAAAAAAAAAAGAGGCACATTTTGGTAACTCTATAGATGATGATTTACTTTTATTTCAACCACTGCCAAAAATCAATAAAAATGATTTCAAGATTAGTTAGCTCAGATAGATTTTTGAACACATTCTTCTTTTTGACTTTCTGAACTTCTTTATGTCTCGTTTTTTTTTTTCTTTTCCAGCCCAGCACCTTCTATAAGCTGGAGGAGAGTGGACGGCGTACCCTTCCCCAGGAAAGTGGACATGAGAAAAGCCAGCGGCGTTCTGGAAATCCCTTATTTCCAGCAGGAGGACGCCGGCACGTATGAGTGTGTGGCCGAAAACTCCAGGGGAATGAACACAGTGAAGGGAAAGCTCTCTTTCTACGGTAGGTGATCCTGTCATGCATGAATATTTGACCATCGTGCGCCATATCTGTCAGAGCCGCTCAGACTGAGAGGCAGCTAAAGCAGACACAACTGTTCTTCCAAAGCAGTCAGCAGCGATCAGCAGCAGCAGCAGCAGCAGCTCGTGTGGCATACATGAGGAGGCAGGCTCGTTTTAACAGCACATCAGAATGATTAAAGGCTGTCAGCCATGATGCCTCTAATATTTTGATCCAGATTAAAGGAGTGATGCGGATGAGGCTGAGCCCTTGGATACGACCTTGTTGGTGAGCCTTGTATTGGGTTCCACCAGATGGCATCATGATTGACATCCAACTTGACTGGAGATCAAAGCCGTTAAATGTGCTATACATAGACCAGTGGCACATATGTCAGGGACATAATCTGCACCGCAGCATCTGGATCAACAGGAAGGGGGTTAGGAGATTCCCCTCATTGTTGCACCTACTGGGTTTAAATACCACAAGTTATGATGACTACAAATTCCAAAAATTAAACATCCACCTTATTAACTGCTTTCTGCTCCTCCAGTATGAGTTGTTGTCACGTTTAATGTCTGTTTATTTTAAAATAAACTCCTGCTTTTCCACCAAAATGATACACATGTTAATATCTGTATCCATATTTCACATTTTTATGTGTATGAAATATTGCTGATTATTAAAATGACAGCACTTTAGCATAAAGGATTTGTATTTTTACTATTTTACTCATCTTTTTCACAAAATTTAGGTCCAAAAATATTTGTCTAATTTCTATTTCTGTGAGTTTAATCATGCTTATAATTTCTTGGTCACTTTCTGTTAGCTAATCTGGTCTCATTAAGGTTCCAGCTTGTGTTTTATTTTAATTATTTTTATTTTTTTGCTCATTCCATAGTTGTTTATAGTCGTATTTTCCCTGAAATTCCCACATACTTGCTTTTCCCTGCAAAAAAAGAAACCTGAAATGATATAATAATCAGTATTTCAGGTATATTTGATTATAAAGAAGTACAAAAAGTTGAGATTTTGTTCTATTCTAACACTGTAGGTGGTATAATATATACCACACTGCATATTAAACACTTTATTATGTATTTTAAACAGGAGAGCAATTTGTCTTTTCAGCTGGTTATAAATTGGTATCTTCAGTATTTACATTTATTCTGTATTTACTGCGGAACAACACAATAAAATGACTGATATGTTGTAAATACGTTTGGAACCGGGACACAGACAAAGTGTGTGAAGCTGGAAATTATGTTTTTCTTTAAGCTGAACTTTCTTTAGTGAAGCCTGAGACTCATAATTTCTAAAACTGAAACTCAAGGAGAGTAATACGAGAAGAGGAAGTTAATATTTTGAATCCTAATTTTCAAACCATTTGAATAAGCAAACCTCTCTCATCCTTAAAGCCTGACAAACCAGCCGGGTGACTCCAATTAGTAACACGCTCGTTAATAAATGGATAAAACATTGGCTTTACATTTTAAACGTTTGATAATATCATGACTGGAGCGTTTCTTCTCTGTTCAGGTGTTAACTCCTGCTTTGAACAATCTATGGATTTTTTCCTCCCACCTCCAACAGCTCTCTTGTTTTCTCCCGTCTTGTTTCCTCCCCTTCAAGTCACGCTGTGTCAGCTGTCAGAAATAACTCATTTGGGGCATTAAACAATTTGCTATTATTTACAGCAGCCCTGGAAGCTCTTTGCCTCATTCGCTGTTAACAGCCCAGGAGCACACCGTGATCCACCGAGGCTTGATTTGTCCTTTTGAGCCGCCGCCTCTCATTTTTGATGTCTTTTGTGAGCCTCTCCCTCTCTCTCTCTCTCTCTCTCTCTCTCTCTCCCGCTGTCTGCAGCCAGGTGATAAAAATCAGTAATCTTATTTTGAACTCCCTTTGAATTAAGCCTTTGAGACATTCGTCAGCTGTGTAAGCCAATGGGGGGATCGATAAGGGTATCTCTTGTACATCCAAGCCAGCTACAGTGAAAGGAGAGCGGGGTTTTGTGTCAGACGGGACGAGATGAAGGCGTTGCTCTGTGGTGGCGATGTGGTCGTTGTTAAATCATTGTCGCAGTTTTGAAACCATTTTTAATGTGCCAGGAAACAAAAACTTGTATTTGTCTTAGTGGAGCTACATTCAGATTTGCATGAGTGTTTTTTTCACTACTTTATCCTGTTTTGATGTAGTTTAATGAATATATTCATAAATGCATTAACCAAATTTGTATTTTTCACAAAATTTAGGTCCAAAAATATTTGTCTAATTTCTATTTCTGTGAGTTTAATCATGCTTATAATTTCTTGGTCACTTTCTGTGAGCTAATCTGGTCTCATTAAGGGTCCAGCTTGTGTTTTATTTTAATTATTTTTATTTTTTTGCTCATTCCATAGTTGTTTATAGTCGTATT